CGGGGCCCCGCCAAACCGGGTCGGCACGGCCGGGGCCACCCACGGCACGGGCACCGAGCCACCCGGGCTTGTCCCCACGCGTGGCCGGCCACCGGCGCTGCCACGCCCGCCCGGGGACGCCCTGCTGGCATCTCCGGGGGCGTCTGTGGTGGCATCTCCGTGGTCACGTGTCACTTGGTGTCACCTCACTCATGGTGGCATCTCCATGGTCATGGGTCACTTGGTGTCACCTGGTGTCACCTCACTCATGGTGGCATCTCCAGGGGCGTCTGTGGTGGTATCTCCATGGTCACATGTCACCTGGTGTCACCATGTTCATGGTGTCACCTCCATGGCCATGGTGGCATTTCCATGGTCATGGGTCACTTGGTGTCACCTGGTGTCACCTCACTCATGGTGGCATCTCCATGGTCATGGGTCACTTGGTGTCACCATGTTCATTGTGTCACCTCCATGGCCACATGTCCGTTGGTGTCACCTCACTCATGGTGGCATCTCCATGGTCATGGGTCCTCCATGGCCATGTGTCCCCTGGTGTCACCACGTCCATGGTGGCATCTCCATGGTCATGGGTCACTTGGTGTCACCTGGTGTCACCTCACTCATGGCGGCATCTCCATGGTCATGGTGGCATCTCCATGGTCATGGTGGTATCTCCATGGTCATGGGTCACCTGGTGTCACCACGCCCATGGTGGCACCTCCATGGTCATGGGTCACTTGTCACCTGGTGTCACCTCCATGGCCATGGTGGAATCTCCGTGGTCATGGGTCACTTGGTGTCACCTCCATGGTCACATGTCACCTGGTGTCACCTCACTCATGGTGGCATCTCCATGGTCATGGGTCCTCCATGGTCACGTGTCCCTTGGTGTCACCTCCATGGCCATGTGTCCCCTGGTGTCACCACATCCATGATGGCATCTCCATGGCCATGGGTCCTCCATGGTCATGTGTCACCTGGTGTCACCTCCATGGCCTGGCCAGGCCACACCTCCCCCCCATGGGGTGACAGGGCCACCGTGGCCACCCTCAGCCGGTTCTGTCCCCTCAGTGACGCCCCTGGGGACATCCCCGCTGCCACCCGATGTCACCGTGTGGGACGTGTCCCAGTTCTCGCTGGTGGACGGACACCTGGTGCCACTGGGCAGGGACGAGGAGGTGACCGGGGGACATCGGGGTGTCCCCAGGGGGTGTCCCCAGGGGTGTCCCCTCCTGACCCCAGGGGTGTCCCCAGGGGTGTCCCCAGGGTGTCCCCAGGGGTGTCAGGATGTCCCCAGGGTGTCCCCAGGGGTGTCCCCAGGGGTGTCCCCTCCTGACCCCAGGGGTGTCCCCAGGGGTGTCCCCAAGGGGTGTCCCCAGGGTGTCCCCAGGGGTGTCAGGATGTCCCCAGGCTGTCCCCAGGGGTGTCCCCAAGGGTGTCCCCTCCTGACCCCAGGGGTGTCCCCAGAGTGTCCCCAGGGGTGTCCCCAAGGGTGTCCCCTCCTGACCCCGGGCTGTCCCCAGGGCTCGTGGCAGAGCAGGACCCGCACCGGGAGTGCCACCTCCGAGGCCACCAAGCTGTCCCCAACGGGCAGGAGGGACCCGGGTGAGGACACGGGGGGTGGCACTCGGGGGGTGGCACTTGGGGGTCACTGGGGGGGTCACTGGGGGGCACTGGGGGTCACTGGGGCATCACTGGGGGTCACTGGGGGGTC